ACCCCCATTGCCCCAATTACTGTATCAATCCATCTTATCCAAGGTCTTCTTCTCCTACACTGTCTGTCCACCCTTCCAAGCATGATGTCCTGTTATGCTTCAGAGAGTTAGCAATTACTAAGGATGACAGAAGAATAGATGCCTTCGAGTTGTGGTGCTGGAGAAGAGTCTTGAATATACCATGGACTGCCAAGGAAACAAATATGCCTGTCTTGGAGAAGGTGAAACCAAGTATCTCCCTGGAGGCTAGAATTTTTAAGCTTCACCTCACTTACTTGGGGCACATGGCCAGGAGAGAGCAGTCCTTGTAGAAGGACAGCATGTTCTCTGTATATTTTCTTAAATTCTTCTCTTTCTCTACCACCTAATGAGTACACACACACACACATACACTCTCTCTCTCTCTCTAAGACCTAGGGCATGGCCTCCTATTAATTTGGGTCATAAATGGCAGTCATCCCCTGAGATGATTCTTTTAGAGCATCTAGTGAATCTGTTAAAAAGAAGCAAGAGGATTTTTGAGTATTAATTGCTGCTGTTTAAGGGATCTCAGCCATGATGACTATAGCAGCTACTACTGGAGTTGCTGTGCATCAAAGTGTTCCTCGTGATTCTGAAAAAATGATGGTCCTCTCAAAGAAAAATAGATTCTGAAATCAATTCTCGATTAACTGATTTAGAAGTTTAGAACTGATTTAGTAGTTAGTTACACAAGTGAAGTTAAAATGTGACTGGAATACTACAAAGTTACAAGCTCAAATTCATGATACTTTCAGGGAGCTCTGATGGCCTAGTGGCAAGAAGCTGCACTGCAGTCCCAGAGGTACATAGTTTGAATCCACCAGATGCTTTGCTGGAGAAGGAGGGGCAATCTCCTCCTGTACCAGTCAGATCCGATTTGACGATACACACAAAATATAATAATTTTTTTTAAAGTGATACTTTCGATGAATAATTGAGAAAATTTAGAAATATTGATTTTCTGGAAGAAATAAGGAATCTCTAATCTTGTTTTGATTATGTTAAAATCTTTGGAAGTTCTTCTATAATTATGTTTTGTCTTATGGTCCTTATTTTTATACTTTTATGTCAAAGATGGAAAATGCAAAGGAATAAAAGGAATAATATAAAAAAGAAAAGAAGCTATATTTGCCTTGATGACTAAGTGATACTTAAACAATAGAGGGGGAAATGTGGATAGCTCGGCATCGTGACAGCCAGGCCGCAGCTGAGATCAGAGTCCAGGCTGGACTGGGCGCCCTCTGCAGAGTATTCATCCCAGCTACCCCGCCCCCCCCCCGCCCCCAGAGATACTGGAAGTGCTGCCCAGACTCCCACCGGAGCGGCTACTGCATCTGAACTTTGGAATCATCCTGCTCTTGGTTTAGGAATTAAACTTACCCACTGTTTTGTTGGCAACACTTACATACAAGGAAAATATAGCCTCACGAGATAGCAATTTTTTCTATTGTTGGTTTAAACTAAATAAAAACCATGGGAAAGCTAAGGAAGGGCCCTTCACAGTCCTAACTGTGGGCACCTCTGCCTGGCCTTTCTATTTTTTCAGAATTCATTCCTCGTGTCCACACTTTGATTTTTCGTCTGGTTAACAGCAACCACCCAAACCTGAAGTCTGTCAATGAACTGATCTATAAGCATGGTTATGGCAAAATCGATAAGAAATTAATTGCTCTAACTTACAACACTTTTTTTGCACAATGTCTTGGTAAATATGGCATTATCTGCAGGTAGGACCTGATTCATTAAATCTATTCTGCCAGCAAATGCTTCAAAGAAACAATACAACTTCTTGTGGCTCTTCAAATAATCTTCTCCACAAAGTGGAGATTACTTGGGGATTACTATATGATAGTAACCAAAAGGAGTTTGGCAGCCTACGGGCAAGAAGCTGCACCACAATCCCAGAGACACGCTATTGGAGGCCCCAGCAGCTCCGCGGGAGAAGGATGGGCAATTTCCTCCCGTTCAATCAACTGCTTCTGAAAACCCGCTGGAGATCAGCTATGGGTCGGTTCCGACTGTATAGCACATAACAACAGCAACATCTAAAGTATGTGAGACTAAGCTGTGTCATCCTTGTCTCCAAGAACACGCTGCTCACCCTTTCTCCAAGACACTTCTGGTTTGTTCTTTTGGTAATCCATGAGATAATCAGTGCTCTTCTCAATTCTTCTGTCACTCACTGTCCAGCTCCCAGATGCATAGCAAGTGATTTAAAAGACCATGGTCAAGATCAGGTACACCAGTCTTCAAACTGGCATCGCTGCTCCCCAGTAATTTGGAGTAACTACCAGGCTGGAAATAATCCCAATATGGTCCCTGGCTCAAGAAAAATCACAAGAGACACTTCCAGATATCAAAAGGTATGAGACCTATTTTTCTGTTTTGTTTTGTTGTTTTTTAATGAGGCTGGGTAGATATATTATCATTAATTGTCATAAAGCAAAATGCATATGAACAGAAAACCAGTTTCCTTTTTCACCCAAGTCTCAATTGTTGTTGGGTCCTGTGATGGGGAACTGACCCTCCAGTGGGTTTGTAGAGGCAGTAATTGCAGGGGAGGGGACAGCCCATCTTTCTCTCAGCAGAGCACTTTGTAGATTCGATCTGCATTCATTAAGCCACCAGAACCCTCTCCAACTGAACATAAAAAGGAAAAAGGAAAGTCAGTGTCACTAAGAATCTAAGCTCAGTCCGCTTCCCGCAAGGATCAAAGCGGCGCAAGCCACGCTGCAGCGGAGACTCCATCGCGTGTCGACAGCCTCCTGCAGGAAATTTAGCATTTCCCCGGGAAAGAAGCAGTTGGTTAACAACTGATCACTTTTCAGCTTACGTTCTAAGCCTTTGTCCATCTATTTACTTTATATAATTCTTACAATATCCCTAACACGAGCGAGATGCTACTACTAAAACTATTTTTGGAGAGAAATCAAGTAATTTTTCCAAAAGTAAAGCATCCTAAAGACACACAGGAAACACTGTCGCTGTGATGCAGGACCAGGGCCCGCCCGCACCCGCAGGACGTCCAGCGTACTCAAATCGCTGCCCGGCCGCGCCTCCGCCACACACTGCCTTTTGCCCTCCTCGAAGGCGAGGGCCAGTACTGGAGGGCCCCAAGTCCAGGCTTGGAAACCTTCGAGGGGTTGCGGCACCGCGACTGACATTGACAGCAATGAAAAATAACTTGAAGAGAGATACTGAGGGGGCATCAGCAGTACCGCTCTGCAGAGAAACTCTGTAGAGCCATCTATTCCATTAGGAGTGAACTCCAGACAGCCTCAATAAAGAGATTTTCTACAACATTATTTACCTATCACAGTGATTTAAAACCAGAAATAAAAAGAATGATGAACTAAGCATGTTAGTTCTGGTACAAGATATATTAGAAACCACAGAATGTTTCTCAGTTTCAAATTCTTTAAAGATAATATTAAAGGGTGTGTGGGTGTGCAGGTATGCACAAAAGGAATTCTGGGAGTAGGTAGTGTGTTGCACTGTGAACTGAAAGACCAGTGGTTCAAATTCACTAGCTACACCATGGGAAAAGACCGGCAATAAGCTATAAAGATTTACAGCTTTGGAAACTTGAGAGTCATGGCTGAGTCTGATGAACTCAAAGGAGAGGGGTCACAGAGAAAGAGACAGATGGTGTGAGATTGATCTATCCATCTCATTCTTTAGTAATAGCAAGAAATAACTAACAACTTCTAGGTGTTCCATTTTTCTTTTTGGAAGGAACCATACAAAATCCCCATGTTTCTGTGCTGAATTGTTAATATGTTCTGCCTCTTTCCTAACACTCCTAATTATAAATTTAGCTTTTCCCACTTGATACTCTTTCCACTGGAGTAATAAAGATTTTGGTAATCCAACGGATGGTTTCTATGCTTCTCATGAATGATGATCTGTGATAGCCTCTGTGCATATTTGTAGAATACAAAATCACTCTGAAAGCCAACAATATAATCTCTGGGGATCTATTCCTTAATTGTAGACTGTATACCATATGAGAGAAAGCAATTATTATGAGTCTTTAACTACAGAACGTTTTCAACTACAAATTTTATTCATTTTTCATTGTTTTACAGCTTTAGTAAAAATAATGGTCACTGTTAATGAAAAGGAAAAAGAATCCCCAGCCTTCCCTGTAATAGTCCCCCAATCCTGGTGAAAAAACCTAGCTTGCATATTAACAAAGATCGTTCCAAATTCTCTATACATATAGTCACATAAATAGGTAATAATTTATATTCGTTGCATCTTACTAAGAGGGCTATAATCTAATTTTCTCCTAAATATGAGATCTACTCCCATGACTAGGGTTTGTTAGGCCTTTGATGAGTTTCTCATCACAATTATGAACCTGAAGAAGTCCTCTTTCACTCTCGATACTTTTATTGGGTTTATTATCAATATGTTGGCGAGTCAAGTACAAATCATAGCGACCTTATGAACAACAGATGAACACCCCTGTCCTATCCTGTGCCATCCTCACAATATCTGACACACTTGAGACAGCTGCTGCAGTCACGGTCAATCCCTCTGCTTGCGGGTCTTCCTCTCTTTTGCTGACCCTCCACATTTCCAAGCTTGATGTCCCTTTCCAATAAATAGCCTCTCCTAGCAACATGCCCAAAGTATGTGAGATAAAGCTTCACCATCCTTGCTTCCAACAAGCACTCTGGTTGCACCTTCTCCAAGACATATCTGTTTTTTGTGGGGTTTTTTTTGGCAGTCCATAGGATATTCAGTACTCTTCTCCAACAGCACAGTTAAAAGGCATCAATTATTCTTCTGTCATCCTTATTCACTGTCCAGTTCTCAGATGTGTAGCAAGTGACTGAAAAGACCATGGCCTAAATCAAGTGAACTTTAGTCCTCAAACTGACATCACTGTGATCATCATTGCTCAAGATGATCACCAGTATGGGCTCTCCAAAACCCAGACATGAGTTCTTAACAATTAGCCTGCGAGGCTTCTAAAGATTCTTGCCAACATGGACTTTTTGATGATATTTAAGCCGTGAGCGGTGACGGAAGGCCTTACCACAGAGATCACATTTGTGAGGTTTCTCTCCTGTGTGAACTCTCTGATGAGCCTGCAGACGTGAGCTCTGACTGAAGCCCTTACCACAGTGCTCACACTTATACAGTTTCTCTCTCATGTGGACGCTCAGATGGACTCGAAGATTTGATGGGAGACTGAAAGCCTTCCCGCACTCCTCACATTTATAGGGTTTCTCTCCTGTGTGGACCCTCTGATGATGGCGGAGATTCAAGCTCCTACCAAAGCCTTTCCCACACTCCTCACACTTAAATGGCTTTTCCCCAGTGTGGCTTCGCTGGTGGTATATATACTGGGAACTGTATCTGAATCCCTTTCCGCAGATTTCACAGTTGTACGGCTTCTCTCCAGTGTGGACTCTCTGATGAGACTGGACCCCTGAGGACTGACTGAAGCTTTTCCCACAGACCTCGCAAGTGTACGGTTTCTCTCCTGTGTGGACTCTCTGATGGACCCGGAAGTCTATAGCCTGACTGAAGCATTTATCACACTCCGTACATTTATAGGGCTTCTCGCCCGAGTGGACTCTCTGATGGGTGTGAAGGTTTGATCTCCAGCTAAAGCCCTTCCCACACTCCTCACAGATGTATGGCTTTTCTCCAGTGTGAATTACTTGATGCAGTTTAAGATTTGAACTGTAACTGAAGTCCTTACCACAGACATTACACGTGTAGGGTTTCTCCCCAGTATGGACTCTCTGATGAATTTGAAGTTTGGACGACTGACTGAAGCCCTTCCCACACGTAACACATCTGAAGCGTTTCTCCCCAGTGTGGACACTCCAATGGACTTGGAGATTCGAAGCCTGACTGAAGCCCTTCCCGCACTCCTTACATTTATAGGGTTTCTCTCCCGTGTGAACTCTGTAATGAATGTGGAGATCTGTGTTCCGGGTAAAGCCTTTCCCACATACCTCACATTTGTATGGTTTCTCACCAGTGTGGACCCGGCGGTGGCATATCAATGGTGAGTTGTGGCTGAACCCCTTACCACAAACATCACACTTGTAGGGTTTCTCCCCAGTGTGGATCCTCTGATGTATGTGAAAGTGTGCAGCCTGAGTGAAGCCCTTACCACAAGCTCCACATTTATAGGGTTTCTCACCACTGTGCACCCTCTGATGAACACGGAGGTTAACACTCCAGCTGAAGCCCTTCCCACATTCTTCACATTTGTAAGGTTTGTCTTCTGAGTGGACCCTCTGATGGCACTGGAAATCTGAACTCTGACTAAAGCACTTCCCACACTCTTGACACTTGTACGGCTTCTCTCCAGTGTGGGTTCTGTAATGGATGGTCAGGCCTGTGCTGTTACTGAAGCCCTTACCACAACTGTCACAGCTGTAGGCTTTCTCTTCCTTGTTACAGGACTGCTGCATGTGAAAAGAGCTCTCTCGGAAGGAACTACCAGATGCCTGATACATGCTGAGGGTCCCTTCTGGGTGAATTCTCGGATGAGTTTGCACTTGTGAGTTCTGGCTGAAACATTTCTCTCCTGAGTGAACACTGTGAGGAATGGCAAGGACTGAGCTAGAGCTGAAACTCTCAGTACACGTATGGGGGTTTTCTCCTAAGGGGAACTGCTGACTGGGGTTCTCACTCAAGATTCTACCACATTCACATCTGTACGGTTGCAATTTTGGGCTAATTTTAACATACTCACTAAGTGAGGACTTTCTCAAGTTTTCATGAATTTGCAGGCTGAATTCTTTACTCCTATCCTCATTTTGTGACTCATTCAGGTATGTTTCCCTCCAAGAATTCTGGGCACTCAACATTGAAAACTCCTGATTTTCCATAAAATTAGGGCCATCTCCTTTACGCTTCATGACACAGATCTCATTGTCAGGAACCTGAATGAAATCATTAGGGAATAACCGGGGGTTCTCTTCCTGCAGATTTATTGTGGGGTCTTGACTCCTGGTTAATTCACTTGCAACTTGTTCCCAGATATCCCAAGAGATAAGCTCTTCATGCAAAGAATACTTTAATGCTGCTTTTTGAGGTAGCGTCATCTCATTTTGATTCTTGCTGCCTACAAAAATAAGCAGTATTTAGAGAGGTGGACAAGTAAATACAGTATCAGAAATGTTAGGATTGTACACTTTAGACCAATAGGAAGCGGAGTCCACAGGAAGCTGTACTGTTAAGCCAAAGGCTATGTCTCTCTGGCAATTCAAATCCATGAACAGCTGCTCAGGAGAAAGATGGGTCATTGCCTCCTGTGTGATTTATAGCCTCAGAACCCGCTGGAGGCTCAGCTATGAGTTCATTCCTACTCAATGGCAGTGAAAGGGAGACAGAAGGAGGAAGGAGGTCACTGGCTGCTGTGAAGTGGGAAGTGATACTGTTTCCCTAATCATCATATCCCCTGCCTGCACAGAGACAGGACTAGAAGATCCTGCTCCAAATACCAACAAAGCGGACCTCACTGAAGTTCTTTTGGAGGATGCTAGCACCTCCCTCAAGCCTCTGCAGGGGAGGCTGCTCCCACAGGAAATGTTCTACAAGCTTCCAACTGGGATCACAGGTTAAGAGATGCTGGGACAATGGCTTCCTTACTCCATTCAAAACCCAGCTATTATCCAACGAATTAATTCAGTAAGTATATACTCAGGGACTACTAAGCTGATGGTCATCGGTGGCTTAGAGTACACAGTAATAGCCAAAATCCTGGTTACCTGGAGACAAAGATGTGCAGAAAAGGGAACTAACGGGCCAGGGTGAGACCAGTGGCTAACAGAAAAGAAAGAATTAACAAAAAGATAAACAATTCCATGGAAAACAAAACAGGAAAAAGACTTTAAGAGACATGCGGCCAATAAGCACGTGAAAAGATTCTCAATGTCAAGAGCCACTGCTGTTGTTGGGTGCTGGTCACATGGGCTCCTACTCCTGTCACTCTACAGGACATAGCACTGCTCCACATGGTTTCCTAGGCTGTAGTGGAGCAGACAGCCAGATCTTCTCTCCTACGGAGCGCCTGGCGGGTTCAAACTGCCAGCCTTTTAAGTTAGCAGCCAAGTGCTTGACCACTGTGCCACTAAGGCTATTAGCCATCAGACAGACACTAACTAAGTGAATTACCACTCACTCCCATGTGCGTAGCAATGTCCCCCCCAAAAGGAAAACAATGGGTTTTACAACCTTTACAAGGTTGTGGCCCCTGTGGAAAAGTTGGGCAGTCCTCAACAAGTTGAACAGAGAAGTCTGATTATGATCCAGCTATTCCACTCTTGGTTGGTAATGCAGAGGGTCAGAGGAAAGGAGGATGACCCTCTCCAAGAAGAACTGGCTCAGTAACCGCAACAATGGCTTCTGCATGGCAGGGACTCTGAGGAAGTGCAGGACCACGCAGGCTTCATTCAAGTGGAGTCAAGTCAAGCATACATCTAAGACACTTGAAAGCAACAACAGCAATATATAAATGTGCGTTAATGTTCACTGGAACTTTAATTTCAATAGCCACAAGGTGGAACAAGGCAAAATGTCAGCAACAGACAAACGGATAAACAAAATTCTGTAACCCCACTGGCCTACTACTACTCAGCCATAAAGAGCAATAAAGTCCTGACCCACAGCCTCCATGGATGAACCCTGAAAACATCATATTGAGTAAAACAAGTCAGTTACAAAAGGACAATTACTGTATGACTTTTATGAAATAATCAAATATGTAGAAATCAAAGACGATTAGCAGTTACCAGGTGGGAGGGAGGTGTAGGGAGAGGTTCTGCTAAGGGAACAGCGAGTTCCTACGCAGGGGGCAGAATGAATTGGAAAACAGCAGACAAAATGGTTGCACAACATGAAGCCTGAATCAACATCACCAAATTGCCTATGTAGAAATTGTTGACTAGACGCATGTTTTGTTGTATCTTCACCATTAGAACGAGTTTTAAAACATCAATGTAGAGGATGGAGAATGGAAAAGGGAAAGGAGATGGCATCTTTAATAAGAAAGGCATAGGCAGCCTCTGTGATGACCTAATGTCTGAGTCAAGACCTGTGTGGGAAACTTTATAAAGTCAGAGAACCATAAAGCTTGAGTGAAGCCAGACCCCAAGCCTCCAGCCCTGGAGTCCACTCCAACTCATCATGGCCTTTCCTCATGTGAGAAGACTGCCTCCTCTTTGTCCTGTGGAGCAGCTGGTGGATTTGAATTACTGACTTTTCAATGTGCAACCCAACAAATGAATAAACTACGCTGCTCATATAAACTCAGCAGAAGTGGTCTGGGAAAGGGAAATGAGAGGAGACGAAGGAGAGACCAGAGGCGGGTGGGAGTCAGATCAGATTGGGCCTTGCAAGGGTGTTGTGAGGACGCTGAATGAAATGGGACACGTCTGGAGGTTTTGAGAGGGGCATGATATGATCTTGCTTGGTTTTTAAAGAATCATGTTAGCTACCAGAGGAAAATGTTGTTATGTATCAAGTTGAAATAGCTGACCTTTCAGTGAATTTTCAGAGGCCGTAAATCACACAGCAGACTCCCCTTCTTTCCAATGGAGTAGGTGGAGGATTCAAACTGACTGCCTTTGGGGTCGCAGCACAACTCCTCACCCACTGGTGGAGAATGGATTCCACCACCTATTCTCCCTCACACGGAGAATGGATTCCAGATGTGAGTGCCAACGGAAGAAGCACAAAGCGCAGTGTGGAGGTTGTGGTCATAATCCAGGCCAGGGATGACTGTGACTCAGGGAAGGGAATTAATCCACCACAGGGTGAGGGAGACCAGTACCCAAAAGAATACAGGCTTCTCACCAGAATATTCACTTCTCTGGGGTTCTGTCTCCATCATCCAAAGCTTTTCTTCTGCTTCCAACTGGAATAGCATATCTAGTCTGAAGGGATGATGTCCTAGGAAAAGGCAGACACATAAATATTTAAAATGAACCTATTCACAACTAAAAATTTTATTTTATTTTTATTTATTTGTGTGTGTGTGTGTGTGTGTGTGTGTGTGTGTGTGTGTGTG